CCGCTGCTACATTCCAGAGTCCAAAGTTATGGTATCTTTGGGGTGGGGCCTTATTTTCAGGGGGGTGCCAGATATTTCAGCGAGAGGCAAAACTGTAAATAGGTCTTATTTTCGGGCAATGTTTTACTTTCGGGGAAACAGGGTATAAAGTGGGCATAATAATGTCTATCTTAGAATGGAGGGTGATTCAGGGATAGAATTCTTACCTTCCATGAGGTAGACCTTGGCTCAGTTCCCAACCAGTGCACCTCATACACTGCTCTGTGGAGCCCTGTGTGTTGCTCTGACACCGAACAGGTCTCACAGCCCTTTTAGACTGGGGATCTCCATCTGAAAATCAGCCCTAAAAACCCTATAGATTACAGTGATCCAGTTTGCAACTGGCCTTGGGGATGGTATGAGACAGACAGTGTTTCATGCCATTGTGCATGGGGTTGCCAGGAGTTGGGGGCTAACATGACAGTAGCTAATAACATCAACATAATCTAAGGATAGAATGTATTAATATATATTGAAAAAGCTTAGCACAGCCGCTGGTGTAGAGTAAGTGTTCAATAAATCGTAAGTGCTGCTATTATTATTGTAATTGCCAGACAGGAAATAATTTGTACTGTGCAAATAAAGAAAGCTTTGAAGATCTCATTGAAGTTCTATGCACCATGAATGTGATTTCTGACTTACACCTTCCTTGTCCAAAACCAGTGAGTTAAGCTGAAGTGACTTGTCTGCCACTGTGGTTTATTTTCTCAAAAAAGAAAACCCTAAAAAACTGAGCCTTGAGTGCTTGGAATCAGATTCTGCTTGGAACTTGAGCTCTCTTCAGCTTCAGGGGATTCATGACACCTGGACCAGGATGTTCAGTGACAGTGCCCTGGAACATTGCCACCATGCCCAGAAAATTGCACATTTTAATGGCCCTGTGTTATCAATCCCAAGGATTGAGGGTTGAGATTTATTCCCCCAGAAAGCAGTTTCTATTCAGGAGAGAGGGCCTTACTGAGGGTGGTCCATCTTGGGAGAATGACAGGGACAAGGAAAACAAAAAAGAGAACGAACTTTCTTTTAAGCAGCCCTCTCAACGATTCTATAGGGAGGTGGTGGCGTTTATTGTTGTGTGCCATTAAGTTGATTCTGACTTACAGTTACCCTAAAGGGCAGAGAGTAGAACTATCCCATAGAGTATCCAAGACTCTCATCTTTATAGCAGATAGCCAGTCTTTTCTCCTATGAAGTGACTCATGGTTTGAACCCCCAACCTTTCGATTGGCACGCAAGTGAGTAACCATTGTGCCACGAGGGAAGTGGCCTCATTTCATACATGCAGCTGAGGTTTCCACATGTGCGGGTAACGGTTTAGTTAGCCTTTGAACCAAAGAGGATTTAACTCCTTGTCTGTACTTCTTTCTCTCCAGTATGCCTTCCAACCAGCTTCGGGTCCCAGAATAAACAGAATGTAAGCTTTTCTGATGTGAGAACTACACACCAATTTCCTCTATGTCCCCCACCACCTCTAGTTTAATACTTAGAAGAGATACTCATTGTGTGACTGTTGAAGTTGCTGGTATAAAAACTTCTCTTTAGAAGCCGAGTGGCTTTGCACTGGGACAGAGCTGAATTCCTCGAGTGAATAATTACTTTTTTAAATGGCCCATGCGTTTTTCAGCAGCGACGAGACTTGACAGGACCCAACTTAAAATTCACTGAAGTACTCTTGGCAGCTCCCTGAAGTGGAGCTTCATCCTAAACCTAGCACATGCAGCCCAAAGAGCTACAGAAGGGCAGCTTCTGCTCGGTGCCCCTGGCGTACCCAACCCTGGGGACAAACAAGCTATTGTGGAGAACCAGAGGAGGAACAAGTTCTGAACTTAACCTCTGAGTCTGCAACCTGTGTGTCTTGTCCATTTTTCAAGTGACTTGTCGCAGGGCTAGTCATCTCCAGCACAGACCAAGGCTCAGCCTGGAAGGCAGTATTACAAGTATGGGAGGCAGGATCTGCCGCGTACCGACCTGCTGCTGGTCTCTTCCCCAAGACCACTGTCTTCTCAATTTCAGACCCCATGCTCTGTATTAAATAGGAGTGACTTTGTAAGATATTATTCAGCAGACTTTTTAAAAAGCCCATAAAACATCCTAGATATAAAGAAATGAAGAATGTTTAGAAGTCAAGCTGAAAATTGTGCCAGGAAGTCACCATTTTCATTTATTAAACAGGAGGATTCTGTTCAGTACTTGTATGTGTTAGAAACCTGTAAGTATATAACCTAAAAATCAAAATGTTACCCATTTTACGCCCTGAAGTATAGTAGACTTGGAACAAGACCCAAAGTTTGCATTTGTCTGGAGGGAAAGAAGTGAGTAGAGTATGGGAGTGGTCTGGGGAAACTTTCATTAGGTTTTGTTGAGTGAGCAGTGCATGGGTCAGAACCTCGTTCTCCTTTTAATGTGCACATTTTACTGAAATGGAGCCCCAGAGTCAGATACTGCACCCTTGCGAAGGCACATTCTGAGCTCTGCGTGCGCCCCTTCCCTTCACTGTTGTTTTCATTTTCCTCTCCTGAACCTTGCTACCCTGGCTTCAGCACGGAGGCTGTAAAGGAAGATGGAGAGCCGAGTTACCTCAGAATGATCACTATCGTTAACATTCACGGGTGGTTCACTTATCATTCCTGACTGCACAGACATGGCAGCCGCTCGGAAGCGTCCGCAGGTGTAGCATGGTGATACATATTACATTGTGCCACAATGGATTTATGTATTCTGTAACAAAAGAAAAGTGTAATGAAAAAATACAGAAGGTAATCCTTTATTCTTCCACCACACAATTTATCAGTAATGCCTGTGGATGATAAGTGCCAGGGATTTCCTCTGCTTGCTTTAACCTTGTCACCCAGGTACGTTTTGGTGAAATGACAGAAAGATACAGACTAGGGCTTTTCCTCTGTTCAAGAATCTTTTAAAAGGCCACTTTGAATTTATGAAAGTTAGTCCAACCAAACACAAGGTACCCTTTTGAGTTTTTATTTTGCTATTGCTGGAAAAGAGAAATATTGACTTGCAATAATGCACTCGGCCAGGAGCAGATTAGGAGAGAATGTAAGCAATTTATGATCAGACTCAAATCTGAAATAGTTCAGGTGGATGGGAGCTGGTGAGGTCTGGGCCAGTATTAGGTGGTGAGTACCTGAGAAGTTGTATTCCTTTCTTGGCCCCCCTCATCACCACCCAACATATTGTCACAGATGGAGCGCATACTAACTTCTAAGGAGAAAGCAGGGGAAGGCAAATCTGAGCTTGGATGATTGGCATTTATTCCAAACACACACTGGCCTAGTGCCAGAGCAAATACCCCCAAGTTTATAAATGCACAAGGCACTTTACATTTCAGTACTCTTGCCAAAGTAACGCTTACTGCATCACTCCCTAAATATAGCTTTTTTTTTTTTTTTTAAAGAACTATTTCTTATTTTGTTTTGATCACTAAAATAAACTTTTCAAGATTGTTCTGGGATGGGGTCCAGCTTCTGAGGTAAAGAACGGTTGGCTCTCAGGCATGATTCAGTAACAGAGTGTTCAGGAAAATTAGCTTGACAGTTCTCAGGCCTGCTGTTCGATAGCAAGAACTTGACCAAGTTAAAATGGATGATCTTGCTAGCCAGACCAGCATCGGCTTTTGCTTTTTTAACAAATGGAATGTCAAGGATTAAACAGCTTGCCGTATGGGATGGTGAGGTGTGGAGATGTCTCTGTATTAGGGAAGCAAATTGGGCCCTTGGTTTTGAGATCACCCCCCAGCCCCTGTGGAGAGCCATCCACCTGGTTGGGTCCAACCTGGGCTTAAGGCCCCTTCCCAGCCCAGGCTACCGTTAGAAAGCTTTCCCAGAGCTTAGCTTGGGGTTTGGCTTTCCTCTCAGACTTCTTGTCAATATGAAGTTCTGCCATGGTTTTTGGCTATGCTCCCCTTTGAGATTCCTATGGGGAAATGGGAATGTGACCAAACTCCTTGTGGCAATTCCCATGTTCCATAGTTGGAAACTTGGATTCTGTGTGCAGCATGAGCTAATTGGAATTGGCCTGTTTTGTTCCAGTGCCCAAGCATAGTAAGTAGTAGTTGGGATACTTGCTATTGCAATTAACTGTCCTGGTGAAGTTTTCCCTCGCCCAGGAGTGAGGTATCTCTTTTTAAGGTAGTTATACTTTAGCTTTTTTGGGTTTTCTATTTGGATAAAGCCCTACCCCCAATTTGATTGATTAGAAGTTTACAAATAACATTACTGTTTTTGTCTTATAATTACTTATGCTTTAACTGATATAGTGATTTATAGGCCTAAGTAGACTAAAGCATCCCTTCTAAAGTGGACCCAAACTATATTTCAAAATACAAATATTTACTACCAGTTTGGGGCCTTTTCTTTTGCTTGTTCTCTAGCCCCTCTGTGATGTTTCCGCTCTGAATCTCCCTGATGGTAGTATCTGCCTGTAGTGACATCTGCTCACCCAAGCCAGGTTTATTTGTCAACTCTTGCTGCAGGATTGGGTTTGGGTATAGTAGTTCACATAGACCACACCCAAGCCAAACTGAGTGCCATTGAACCAATTCTGACCTATTGCCACTGTTTGATGCAGGAGAGCAGGACTGCCCGTGGGTTTCTGAGGTAGTACATCTTTCTAGGAACAGGGAGTATCATCTCTCTCCCTCCGCGCGGCTGGTGGGTTTGAATTGCCGACCTTGTGGTTAGCAGTGGGCCACTAAGCCACCAGGGCTCCTTCATGCTGACCAGTTAGGTACAATTTAAGATAAATTAAACCTTCCCTCACCAGAACCTCTCTTCCATTCAGAATTTCTAGTACCAGAAAGCTTTTCTATCATTATTGGAAGTAGGTTTATTCAACTAGTTTAAAAATAATTGGCACATTGCTATATATACATTATCTAAAACACAGCGAATGCTCTCTCTCTAGTTGAGTGTTGGTGATGATATACTACTGGTCTTTCCCTACAGAAATGCTGCTCATGGATTCTCCCTTATTCAGGTGGACAACACAAAGGTCACCATGAAAGAAATATTGCTGAAAGCAGTGAAGCGGAGGAAAGGATCCCAGAAAATTTCAGGTGGGACAGTTAATCACACTCTGACAACAGAGGCTGACACCTAGTGGAAAAGGCACGTGTTTTTTGTGTGTGTGTGTGTGTGTGTGTGTTTGATGGCTGGCTCACTTGTTTCAGATCTCCTTTCTAGGAGGGTCTGGATAGCAGAGACCCAGTGCCAAAAGAAAAAGTGGTTTTTAAGCTGTCCCTATGTCCAAGGAAGGGACTGAGGAAGTAGCATATGTCAGAAGTATGTGTTTGATCAGTTAAAGAAGCTGTGTCATTGATTGTAGTAGACAAGATAGAGCTTCTTGTGTTAACAATTAATATGTATAACTCTGCCTTGAAAACAGTCAATACATAAATTAGGAGCATTATTTGTCATTTTATTATTTTCACATAATTTTCCATGTTAGAAACTTAGTTGCTGGTATTTGAGGGTAGGTAGGGTGGAAGTGTTTTTAAGATTTACTAAATGAGAGCAACAGAGAGAGAGAGAGAGAAATTTAATATGCACAAATCCCTAACTCCTTGTTATAGAACTTTATACAGCAAATAGGCTTTTGGTATTACTGTAATATTTAAAGGGTTAGAGAAGAAAATATTACTGGTATTGAAAAATAATTATTTTGAGAAATAGCTCAAAGATTTGTCATACCACAGGCAGCCTTCATATAAATTGACCTATATATGACATCTCAAATAGCTTGGCTTCGTAAATAAATGAGACTTGTTAAACACCTTTGGTTTCACCTTTTAGAAAGAAAAAATAAAAACCATTGCTAGGTTAGAGAAAACAGTTTTGTGTTCTTTTTAAAAGGAAGGCATATAATCTGTTCCAGATTTAATTAGCTATCTTCAGGTGAAAGCTGAAGTTTTAATAAAAGTTAGAAGAGATAACACAGTGAAGGACACGGATGAGCTGTCTCAAGGCCGTATTCCAGGGGAACGATAAGAGCTGTAAAAAATGGCAGAGGAGAGCAATTGAATGGAGCAATGAAAATCTGATTCTCATAAAAAAGAGAGAGAGAGAGAGATGCTGGTAGGGGCGGTTGTAGATGAGACCTGCTAGCGTCTGCAAGCAATTTGGATGCTTGCCAGGAGTCATTGTTCACCCTCGGCTGTGGCGGCTCCGTCCAGATGTGCCAACTGCACGTTTCGGCTTTTGCCAGCTGACTGCGCCGTTTGATAACCAGCTCTCTGGATGCCCATCACTGGCCGCAGAGATAGAATTAAATGATGATGATCTTCCCACAAGTTGGGGGAGGAAACAATGCATATAAATCTTGATTTCATCTCAGCATGAGAAGTCTTTATCCATCATCACTCATAATGAACAAGTCGTTAGCTGGGATGAATGGTGCTCTGGTTTTTCCAAACACCTCTTTTGTTCATTTTTTGGGTGACTTTTCTCCACTGCATGGGGGTCAAACCTCCTAGCATTTAGGAAATGATTGAAGAGGCATATCTTCTCCTTCTCAGGGGAAAGTACATATTTTGGGGTTCTAGGTGCCAATCAAATAGCTTTTAAACCACTTCAGCTACTCCAAGATGTTTAAGTTCCTTTTCAGATCCTGCTTCTATTCTTTGGTTTTGTCCTTAAATTATTTCTGTCGTGGAGAGTTTCATGTTGTAATTCATTATATTCTAGCAAAGTATTATTCTGAATTGTCAAAGAAGAAGGTGTAATTTCCCCCCCCCCATTTTATTGGGAGCTTTTAGAGATAACATTCCACAATTCAGTCACATCAAGTGGTATTGCTACCACAATCAGTTTTTTTTAAAAAAATAAATCTTTTTATTGGGGCTTCATCCAACTCTTATAAAAATCCAGACATCAATTGTATCAAGCACATTTGTACATATGTTGCCATAATTGTTTTCAAAACTTTTTTTCCCTAAATGAACCTTTGGTATCAACTTCTCTTTTTTCCTTCCTCCCCGCCACCCCTGTGAACCCTGGATAAATGATAAATTATTATTGTTTTCATATCTTACACCATCCGCTGTCTCCCTTCACCCATGTTTCTGTTGTTTGTTCCCCTTGGGGCAGGGATTATACCTCAATCCTTGCAATTGATTCTCCCTTTCTCCCCCTTCTCCCACCTTTCCCCTACCGTCATGGTATCGTTATTCCCATTACTGTTCCTGGGAGACTTATCTGTCTTGGATGCCATGTGTCGAGAGCTCTTATCTGTTCCAGTATGCATGCTCCAGTCTAGCTTGGTTTATAAGGTAGACCTGGGGTCATGATGGTCGGGGGTGGGAGTGGGGGAAGCATGAAAGAACTAGAGGAATACTGTGTGTTTTGTTGGTGCTGTAATGCACCCTGGCTGACTTGTCCCTTCCTTGTAACCCTTCAGTAAGGGGATGTTCAGTTGTCTACAGATAGGCTTTGGGTCTCCACTCCACCCACATTTGTTCACATTGGTATGATTGTTTTGGATCAGGGGTCCTCAAACTACGGCCCACGGGCCACATGCGGCCCACCGAGGACATTTATCTGGCCTGCCGGATGTTTTTGCCCCCTTTTGTTTTTTACTTCAAAATAAGATATGTGCAGTGTGCATAGGAATTTGTTCATAGTTTTTTTAAACTATAGTCTGGCCCT